AGATATGCGCCGTAGGTTTGACAGCCGAACCGTACTAAAGATGGGAGCCTGACGGCGATGACAACGTATGTAATGGTGAAACGGTCTGATTGCTCTGACCGTATTGCTGTGACGAAGCAGCGGTCGAATTGCTTGGGTCAGGATGGGTCTAGACGGCCACAGTGTGGACTGGGCCAAGTTGCTGGACCACAGACAGTGCGGGGCTGCTTTCCCCCAGTGATACGGCCAAAGCATGGAGTGGGCCGTGCGTCGCCTCTGCCGGGTAGGTCGGTCCGGGATTTACCCATGTTAGCTGGGATTGCCCCCAGCTATTTGTCGGCAGCTGAGAATGCTGGCCGTAGCCTGACGCTTGGGTGCGGCTAGAGACGCCGAGGCTGCTGCTTTCGCCATAGGGCTCGAACCTCTCGCGCTCTTGGCTTCTCAGCGCGGGTCTGGGGGGCGTTGCGGACGATGTCACCGGCATTCTCTCCTGAAAAAGTGTTCGTAGTTCTGAGGAGAATCTGTCCATCGCGGCCATAAAGGATGTTTCTATCCTGTAGGCCTGCTTTGCCATCAGATCTTCCACGACTGCTTGCTCTCCCAAGGACTCGGCCATGCGATCCGTCGTCATTGGACCGTTGGCCGAGATTCTGACCGCGTGTTCGGTCTCGATGACAGTGATTGGTGAGGTGGACTTAAGAGCCTCGGAAGTCATTTTGACTGTTTTGTTTTTGAGTTTTGCATGTGCCCTAGTTTCCACCATAAGTTTTTTTTTTTTGACAAATCCCACCGGGCGTGCCAAAATTGTTTGTCTGTTGCGAATCTCACGGCCTGGTGCTCCGGGCCGAGGGGATGTGCGTCAACATGTGACGTCCTTCTTTTGGATGCAGTGCGGTTGTGCGCGGGGGTACCAGCACGGTCTACCGCGCGTCGAGATGATGATGAGGTTCAGGTAGAAGATGGTTTTAAATGTTGCGCCTGTTTTATGTTCGACTCCTAATCAAACGATTGTGGCCGAGAGAGAAACTGATCTCGGCCGTCAAGTTCACGGCCTGAGCTACAAGGCCGTTTAGTGGTGGTGTTGGTGGCGGGTTTTAGGCTGTACTAGAGAGCGACGGTCGTATGATATATGGGGTGAGTGAGGCGATAACGGGGATGGTGCTCCGGCGCCTTGAAAATGATATATTGATGAATGGATTTTCCTTACAATCTACCACTACTCCTAAGACAACAAATAAAGGTATTGAAAGTGCATTACAGGGAAATATAATTTGCTCCGTTGGAGGCTTTTGGTTTGGGGTTTGAACCATTTGAATGTAGTCCTGAGCTTAGTATTTATAGGAGTCCTGAAGGGACATTCGAGGCTGAAAAGACTTGCGCGGTGGAGTCTGACCAGGGCAAGTGGGTAGTCAAATTGGCATTTGGGATCGTGAAGCATGGCGGTCTGGTTTTGAGAAGCATGGTGGTGTGACCCCCATAAATCTCGGTAAATCTCGGCCACTGCCCTGATCGTGGGTTTTGCCCCCTTGGCTGTGGGAACGCATTTAATGCCCTGGTTTGGTGGTTGTGATCTGACCCTAAGTCGTGAGATTACTTGTGAGAATGTCTGTGCCTAACCACCCTGATTTCCATCACCAAATCCTGACTCTAGTCACTTCCCTTGTGCATTTAATGTTTCTTGTAACTAGTGGGTTTGCTGCGAAGTCAGAGGCATTACTTCATTAAATGAAGCGTAGGGCCCTGCGGCCACGTGGTGATTTAATCATAGCCTTTTTAAACCGTGTATTTTACGGTCTTCGGCCTCGGCCTTCAATACCATGGTTGCGAAGCCGAGAGGATTATGCCTTTGCAGCTCTTCTTTCATTTTTAAGAAGGCGAAATGTTTGACGAAACGGCAGGCGCCAGGGCCGAAGGGAAGTCCCTTCAATTAGTTCATGACCGTGATTTATTAAGCACAAACAATGTCCAAACCTATCACAGTTAAAACATTTAGGCTTCCCCTTATATCTACACTCACTTAAGTGAAATTTGGAGCACACCTTGCACTGTGGTTTAGTAGCATCTTGAGTTGTCTATTGTGGTAAACCAAAACTGCAATTTGGTGCATAATTGTTCTACTGAGGCTTTCCTTTCGATTCCCATGGTTTTCCCTTAGGATTCCAATTCTTTTGAGACTTAGAATGATTCTTGCTTTGTTGCCCTTTTGAATTCACAGAAAGATAGGCAAATGCCCTTTCAGTGGTATCCACATTATGTAGATCAAACCTTTGTTCTTTACTTTTCAAAATAGCTACAACTTCCTGCAATTCCACAGTCTCCAAACTTTTGGTATTTTCAATAACCAGACAAATAGGGTCATATGGCTTGCTAAGGCTAATCAACACTTTCTGAACAAGTCTCTCATTAATCAGAATCTCACCAAATGTTTCCATTTGGTTTATCAAATCATTTAGCCTAGTCAAATAGCTAGATAAGGTTTCATCATCTCTCATCCTAGCATACTCAAATTCACGCCTCAGATTTTGTAATTTTACAGACCTTACCTGATCACTACCATGGTACTCTCCATACAACAAATCCCAAGCCATTTTTGCTATTTCAGCATTACCTATTCGTGGGAAAATCTAATCTGAAACCGTAGTCTGAATAATGCCTAGGGCCTTAGCATCTTGCATATAGACATCTGCTGTTTTCTCATCAACTTCCTCTTCTGAGCCTCCTTCAACCTTCTTCTTTGAGTCTGAGATCGAAATCCTTTTTTCAACCAGTTTCCATAACCCGTGCGACCTGAAGATCGTCGTCATTCTGATTCTCCAGAATTCGTAATTCTCGCTGGAGAAGATCGGAGTTCTTACTTCAGAACTTCCAGATCCAGCCATCTTTTAGCTCAAATGAAATGAATCACAAGTCGAAAACTAATTTTGCGAACGTTCTGCAACTTCGCCTGAGCTCAACCAAACTTGAGTGGAGCTCAATCTCTTACGCCCAGATCTTAATCGATCCAACGTGGCTATGAGGCCATGTTAATGTTTAGCTATTCAAGCTGGGTTTGTGTATTGGTTAGAGAGAAAAGAAGAAATTCTGAGTGCTTTTGTATAACTACTCTGCTTGCTCCAGAGTATGTGAGCAGTGTTTTTGTATATATTTATCTGTAAAAAAAAATGAGCTCATACGGCGTGTACAAGACCGTTAGCTCTGAGTTGGATTCACACACTCATCAGTGAATCTTAGCCATCCATCATGCTAAACTAATGGATCACACAAATTACAATAAAGGCCCTACACTTGGTTTAATTACCAAAGTGAATACACAATTAACTACAAGGCATATTTATGCTAAGCTTTAATCAACTCACAGCTTATACACTAACACCGATGCCTTGACCCAAACACTGGTAGGGTATATGTCTCTAGTAATGTTTTATTTAATGAATTGTGTTTTCCTTTTAAGACTTCACAGGTATCTACTCCAGCTGCCACAGTTGAATTTGATATATTTCCACAAGGTGGTTTCACTGGTTTGTCTACTCTACCAACTGCACCTAATCCCAAAGCCCAACCTCCACCTTTTGCACTTGCTCAACCTCACTTCAGGCCCGAACTCCCCATCAGGGGCGCGGTCTCCCTCTCCAGGCTTGCATCTCACTCCAGAACCATGCCTCCTTTTAGGCCCAAGCATCATTTTCGGTCCCAGCACCACACCAGGCCCCAGACTCTTCCAGTCTCGCACCTTTCTCCTGTCCAGCTAGCTACCTCCGTCTAGAGTGCAAACCCATCTTCATCAACACTTGCACATGCCCCTCTTCCACCCTTTGCGGCAGCCCAACCATCTTATCACAAGACTTTGTGCTGGAATTCTCTAGCCCAACCATCTTAATTTCTGTTGTTTCTCTCAGGCTAACAAGCATCTTGAATGGTGTTCCGCCATGACTGATGAAATCAATGCTCCTCTTAAAAATAACACATGGTCTTTGGTTCCTCCCTCTCCTTTACACGCTCTAGTTGGTTGTAAATGGGTAGTCCGCATCGAGGGCCACTCTGATGGTCTTCTAAAGCGTTACAAGTCTCGTTTGGTGGCCAAGGGTTTTAATCAACAACCAGGTATTGACTATACAGAAACCTTTAGTTCCGTTGTCAATCCCGCCACTATCCGTACTGTCCTCAGTCTGGCCGTCTCTCACAGGTGGTATCTTCGACAACTTGATGTTAAAAATGCATTTCTCCGTGGTTTTCTTAATGAGACATCAAAGACCTTTGGCATCCAATTAAGTCCAAAATTTGGAAAAAGAAGATAAAAACAACATCCTAAATTTGCAGAAGATTTACCAAATTAAAGCCCAAAGGTTGGAGTTTTCCTAAGTAGGTGAATTTTACTTTGCCATAGGGACGAGAGAATTACAGCTAGTTAGAGGTTTTGACTTATAGTCTTCTAGAGAGGGTCAATAACTTTGAGGAACTTGGACTTTGTAATGAGACTTATACAGATCTTTGTTTGTGTGGAAGGTAAAGTCTTTAAAGCCCTCGGAGCTTTCTCTTATTCTATACTTTGATTATCTTCAAAGGGTCAATATGCGCAGCAGAATATATAATAGTATAATAGGGTTTCAAGTCACGTTCTCCAACATCTAGAAGGGCACTGGAAGTCAATAAACTACAACCCAGTTATTCGAACGTTTTTATTCCATTTTCCAGGAAGTTTATACTCTCGATATTATTCCTCCTCATTAACCAAGTTGTCTATATATACCACGCAGCACCCACCAACATTCTCACAATCAATACACTTTCTCATCACTTCATATTTTACAAAGCATTTTCATTTGAAGCTTTCCTTCTTTCCACTAAAAGAAATCAACATGGGTGATGCAGAATCTTTGCTTTCCGCTGATGAGCTGAAACGCCAGAAGAAAATCAAAATGGCCATATATATTACTATTTTCGTGGTGTTTCAGATCATAGTTATCACCACAATGAGTCTTACTGTCATGAAAGTCAAGACCCCCAGGTTCAGGCTAGGCAACATCAACGTCCAGAGCTTCGAATCTGTCCCGGCAACGCCTTCATTCGACACGAAATTCACAACCCAGATCAAGATCAAGAACTCAGCCAACTGGGGTTCCTACAAGTTCAATGCTGCCAATGTCACATTTCAATACCAAGGCATGACTGTGGGAGTAATTAATATCGCAAAGGGCAAGGCTGGATGGCTTTCGACCATAAAAAGAAATGTGGAGGTGACTTTGAGTTCAAGTGGATTAACTGGTTCAAATCTGGGCAGCGAATTGAGCAGTGGGGTGTTGACGCTCAACAGCGTAGGCAGATTGAATGGAAAAGTAGCAATTATGTTCATAATGAAGAAGAAGAAGGCTAGCAACATGAACTGCACCATAGCTTTTGATGTGGCAGCCAAGACTCTCAAATCTTTACAGTGCAAATGAGGGGAGTAGCTAAGCATCCAGGATGAATCTTCAGCATTGGGATTGCGACTAGCTAGTTCTTGATTTGTGACTGTTCTTATTCTTTTTATTCTTTGTATCTGTGCGGCGATTGGATTTGTTATAGAGTTATAATGGTATCTGTTTTCTTTACCACTCCCCTGTTCTTCTTTTGTTCTTATTTTTTCACTGAATAGAGAAATACCTGGCATGACTGCAATTATTTGTATACCGGTCCAATCTTTACAAATGACTTCTTTTTCCTTCGCTCTTACCTGGCTTCAATTACCATATATGCCTCTCTTTTTTTTTCTCTTTTTTTTGGTCGAATCACACTTTCATTGAAAGGGAAAAGTAACAAACCAAGCCAACAAACAGCCAAACAAACAGCCCAAAACTAACAACAGCAACACAGTCAAAACACACCAGGAGCAAAAACTACACATTCCCGAGCACTCTTCAAAGTACGAAGAGAAACCACCCAAACTAGACCATGTTGGAAAAACAATTATCAATGACTGATTAAAACAATTATATAAACAGAATTTATAACAATCTGTAACACAGAATACAGTATATAAACAATAAATAAAACTGACTTGAATTCGAGATAGATGCTTGTGGATTTGATGCAATGTCCTAAAGACAGTAATTTCACCCCTTCTTGGTGCTTGAAGTTCTACAGGTGACTGCCTCCCAGGATTCAACTATCTGTATTCTAAGCCCTAGCACTCAGACTTAGAATCTGGCGAACGTTGTTTGTTTTCCTCTTAGACAATATGAAATGCTTGTGAATGCTTTTTCTGTGTAGAACGTATGAGGCCTTGTTTGATTTAAATAAACTTCTGAAACCTTATCAGAAGAGTCACAACTGTTAGAAAACAGTTAATAACACTAATCCGAATTAATAAAAAATTATTAATTCGAAACCCAAAAAAATAATTTTAAATCTGAAAGTGCTCAAGTGCCCCAAGACCCATCTTTTTGACCATTAAATATTATATATTTTTATATAATATTCAAAGCCCAATTCGTTTTTTGAAGCCCAAATTGCTTCCACTTGGCCTACTTCCATTTATTAAGTGTGGCACTTCCACACTTATAAGGACCTCACTCTTTCTACTTTCTACCAATGTAGGACAAAGGTTCTTGAATTTCATTCAAACTTCCAACAGACCAACCCAAAGATAACGCAAACAAAAACTCCAGCTAGGAAAATAACAAACTAGGACGCCACCCCAGAAGACGAGCATCAGATCCTATAACTAGACAAAAACCTTACACATGTGGAGGACATGGGAGGCCATCGCTTTGGAGCACGAACACCAGGGAGAAAGGATAGGGGTCGGCTGATCCATACCTCATCGCACATCTTCCTCTTCACTTCAATAGCTGCAGCATTTGCTGCTTTGTTTGGTTTCCTTGGGATCCACTTCCAGGAGCAAGAGCCAAAAATTCTGCACTTCTCCTTCAAAGCAGCAAGAACTGAGTTGATTGTCCATCTACCTTTCTGAATTCTCCCCTTAATGCTTTGAATCAGCTCCTTTGAATCAGACTCACACTCTAGATGAACATTGCCCAAATCCGAGGCTACCACCAGACCATATAAGGTTGCATGGGCTTCAGCTTCAATAGGAGAAGAGGGAAGTCTAAACTTTACAGCTCCCCTTATGAAATTACCATGCTCATCTCGAATGACAGCCCCTAAACCAGCCATTAACATCTTCTTGTCCCAGGTCGCATCCACATTTAGCTTAAGAGTAGCTTGTAGGGGAGGGAGCCATCTCTGGATTGAATCAACCACTTGCAAAGTAGGCTCCTCCGCACCATGACCATTAAGATCAGCAACCTCCATTAACTCTAAAGCTAGAAATTTACCCCAGTCAATCGTTTGTTTTGGGCAAACATTTTTTCCTTAAAAAACAAAAGGGCATCTGCTTCTCCATATACTCCAGCATATAAAGCTGATATGAACCAACACCCAATTAGATTTTGTCTTGTCCAACCTACTAGTCGCACCGAGCAGCCACTCGTCAAAGGGGATGATGCTTTGCATATCAACTCAGTAACATAGCAAGCTTCCAAACCAAACACTGGGAGTCCAAATATAGTATAGCAATAAGTGATCGATTGTTTCCGGCTCATTTTCACAGACCGGGCACAAAGGGGATGATCCCAAATGCCTATGGAAGAGAAGAGCCTTTGTGGGGAGGCAACCTTTAACCGCACGCCACATAAAGTTTTTTATTTTTGGAATTAGCAGGGAACACCAAATTAGCTTCCACACCTTCTTAGAAACACAGTGAGACCCCGAGGCACGCATGTGCCTATGATTTGGATGGTAGCAAGGATGAATCGAGTAATACCCGGTTTTGATAGAGTAGCAGCCAGATACACTGAAGGGCCAAACCAACTGATCAGATTCGCAACCTCCTCCCACAGGCATGGCTTTTATCCTTCGAGGATCCTGGTCCGAGATTCTACCATTGAGATTTGATAAGTCCCAACTCTTTGTGATGGGGTTAATAATTTCATACACGAAAACATTCTCGTCCACTAACTCATCATTAATAATATGGAGCAGACCGTCTGGCGACACTGGAAACCATTTATCAGTCCATAGCCTAACTCTGGTTCCATTTAAAATTTACCATGCCCCTAATGATCACTTCTCTGCCCTCTAGCATGCTTGCCTACACCCAAGAAGCACGAGCCCCTTTGCTAGCTTTGAGGAAATTAAAAGAAGGGAAGTATCTGCTCTTCATAATCAAACCCCAAAAAGAATTTTGCTCTGTAAGCAATCTCCAGCTTTGGTTAGCAAGTAACTGATCCCTTGCACAATACCCCTCACCACTGCTTTGTTCAGCATAACTGATAGAACATCACTGACCAGGATGAAAATATATGGGGAGATAGGGTCTCCCTGTCTAATACCCCTGGACGGTTTGAAAGGGTTCTTGGACTTGCCATTTAAGAGCACAGTGAAGCAGACCGATGTGATACACCTCATAACCAGGGGCACCCACGTTTGATCAAACCTCATTTTTAGCAACAACTCTTTTAAAAAATCCCATTTAATTATGTCGTAGGCCTTATTCATGTCTAACTTGAGTCACATCTCATAAACTTTTGTCTTTTTCTGGAGCTTCAAAGCATGAAAAGCCTCATGAGCTAACAAAATATTGTCTTGTATCAGTCTTCCTGGGATGAAGGCACTCTACTGAGGGGATATGATCTCTGCAAGCATTGGGTTCAAGCGGTTAGCAAGAATCTTTGAGATGATCTTATATGTGAAGTTACATAAGGCTATAGGCCGGAATTTCGTGACAGCTTCTAGGTTTGGGACCTTAGGAATTAAAGCAATCTCTATCATGTTTAAGCAATGCACCAAAAATTCTCCTTGGAAAAAGGCTTTACCATCTTGCACAAATCCTCTCTGATAATTTCCCAATAATTATGGTAGAATATTCCTGAAAAACCATCAGGACCCGGCACCTTGCTTGCTCCCAATTGGAAAGCAGCCTCCTTAATCTCCTCATCTAACACTAGACTGCACATGCTATTTTTCATCTGTTTAGTAATCACTGGTGGTATAAAGCAAGAATGTCCCCCAAAACTCTTCTTCCCCCAGCAGAAAAAAGGTCTTTGAAATAGTCTTCAAAAGCCTTTCGGACCTGACTATTAATTTCCCCCATATCCCATCCACACCTTTAATCTTGCTCATTCTGTTTCTCCTTCTTCGTTGGGGAGTACTATGGTGGAAGAACGCAGTATTGGAATCTCCTTCCTTCGACCATTGGATCCTCAATCTCTGTTTCCAAAAACTCTCTTTGCCCCCATGTCTCATTTAGCTCAATTTTTATCTGCTCAATTCTTCTCTCATTTTCTTCCTAGTCACGTTGTAACAACTGGAGCTCAGCAGTTAACTTTTCAGTTCTCAACCTGACATTTGAATATTTTCCTCCGCTTCACTTTCTTAGCTCGTATATGCACCTTCTTTGCTTTTTACTCCAGCATGTCACTATACACCTCCAATTATTTGTATTCCAGCTCTTGTGAATCACCTTTCCACATTCTGGGTCAAAAACCTAGTAAGCTTCGAATTTGAATGGACGAGAAACCTTTTCCTGTCTTCCTTCAGTTAGAATGAGAATGGGACAATGGTCAGAACCCACATCTAGGAAATGAATTGCAACAGAGCATGGCCAAACCTCCTGCCAACTAGAGTTTATCAGCCCTCTATCAAGGTGCTATTGGATCAACACCCCTTCAGCTCTGCCCCCTTTCCAAGTATATGCATGCCTTTGGAACCCCATGTCCATTAACTGCTTTTGATTCATAAAATCCTGGAGACATCTTCTACTTTTGTGATTAAAGGCCCTGCCCCTTTTTTTTATTTTTCAAATTCCCAGATAATTTCATTAAAATCCCCAATGCACATCCACGGGATCACTCTAGGGTGAAGACAATTACCAATCCAACTCCAGAAATTAGTTTTTTCTTCTCTGTAGGGAGTGCCGTAAATCCAGGAAATGCGCCAACTTCTTGCCCTACCTTTCTCCTTTATCTCAGTGTCAATTAAATTTTTTGAAAATTCCAGAATCTGAACCTTCACGTTATTATCCCACCAAAGCCCTAAACCTCCAGCCTATCCATGCAGATCCACACAAAAACTTTCAGAAAAACCCATGTCTTGACTGCACTCTTTCAACCTATTGTGTTTCACTTTTGTTTCCATGAGAAACACAATAGCAGGTCAGTTTCTTTTTATGATCTTCCTTAGAGATCTAATTTTCAGGTCCGACCTAAGTCCCTGACAATTCCAAGACTAATAACTCATGGTGTTCTTGCGGCTGTTTCTGGCCAACCTCCACTGGCAATACTTGATTCATTATTTTCATTCTCCCATTGCAGAGACCTTCCCTCTCCAATTTCAACAGCCACCCCAACTTGAATGTCACATCCTCAGAGAAATCATCAATAGAGAGCCTCCGTGATTCCACTGCATTCTTTGGTTTTTTTGGACTAGAGAGGTTCCTACTCAATTTGTGTTTCCCCTCATGAATTTTTCCTGACACTTGCCTCACACTTTGAGGCCTTGCCCTTTTAAGCTCATTTTTATTCTTCTGCCATCCTTGGTTAGCATCTCTTTTAAGATCCATCCTTACAAAAGCCTCATCAGCTTCTCTGTGGTAGGTTCGATACGCAGAGGTAGGAATA